GTGTGTGTGTGTGTCTCTGTGTGTGTGTGTGCGCACAGCGGGGAAACACACGGCCAGCACACACCACCTCTCCGCTCTGGTGACTCCGGCCGGACGCTCGTTCATTTGCGCGGCTCAGCAGACGCTCACGCTGATCTCCAGCGACCATCAGAAGGGAATCACCGTCTCCATCTACGACATTCAGATTCAACCCTTCGACATCAAGAGCGACTTCGTCTTCAGTGAACGTGAGCGCCTCACACACACACACACACACACACACGGACAGACACATGAACTGACATTTGTCATCAAATAAATGCACTTTCAGATTTGTTGCAGTGCAGTTAACCCTCGTGCATCAATTAAAAGAGGACAGAACAGCTAGTGTCCAAAAATGGACGTAAAAGTATTTTATATGATATATTTTTTACTACATTCACTAACACAGATATTTTTACCATCAGTCATGACTATAACTACCAAAAATTAATTATTTAATTCATGAAAAAACACAAAAAATCTGTTGCTTTCCATATTCTAAATGCTAAGCATGTTTTGAGTTTATTAATGTCTATGATTAGAAACAACATTAATTTTGATGCATTTTTATTTTTGTGCAGTTTCAGATTTAAAAAGAAAAACACACAAAAATTTCTCAGCACAAACACACACACACACACACACACACACAAAGCACGCTCTGATATCAACACCAACACACCCACACAATTATAATTACAATGTTCAATTCCACTGGCGTTTTCCAGCAGAAGCAGAAAACAGGAACAAAGCGAGTATTTGCTCCAGAGAGCAAACCTCAGAAAATGGTGCCAGAATAGTCAAATATTGTAAATTTTTATAAACAGCTACAATTTTGTTTAAATGGCACTGGGATGAAATACTGCTGTTTTAATGGGTACCTTTCTGTCTCTAAAGTCCTCACTATTTGTGTACCTACTGTAAAATAGATTTATGAGAGGAAATAAAGGTGAAATCTTAAAAAGCCAATAAAATACATTGTTTGCATTAACAGCCAAAATGATCAAAAACCAAAAATTAAAAAGACAAAAATGTTTAAGACGCACAAGGGTTAATGACATTTACCTTCCTAACAATCATTATCTTCTGCGCCCCAGATGTAATCATTTGATTCCGTTCTAAAATGAGCTGCAGTGTTCAGTGCGGTGGTTTTGTGGTTTGGTGCGGAGGTTTTGTGGTTCGGTGCGGAGGTTTTGTGTTTCGGTGCGGTGGTTTTGTGGTTCGGTGCGGTGATGTTGTGGTTCGGTGCGGGGGTTTTGTGGTTTGTGGTTCGGTGCGGAGGTTTTGTGGTTCGGTGCGGAGGTTTTGTGGTTCGGTGCGGTGATGTTGTGGTTCGGTGCGGTGGTTTTGTGGTTCGGTGCGGAGGTTTTGTGGTTCGGTGCGGTGGTTTTGTGTTTCGGTGCGGAGGTTTTGTGGTTCGGTGCGGTGGTTTTGTGTTTCGGTGCGGAGGTTTTGTGGTTCGGTGCGGTGGTTTTGTGTTTCGGTGCGGAGGTTTTGTGGTTCGGTGCGGTGGTTTTGTGTTTCGGTGCGGAGGTTTTGTGGTTCGGTGCGGTGGTTTTTTGGTTCGATGCGGTGGTTTTGTGGTTGTGGTTAGTAGGTTGTGGTTAGTAGCGCTGACCCGTCTGTGACCCGCGGGCTGAGTGTTTGTTGGAGCGTGTCGTTCTCTCTCACGCTGAGGGTGAAATGGCTGTTTACCGCAGTGAGTGTTACTCTTCCTTTTATAGTTCCGGTGATTTATGGGCCGTTTCTTCAGCGTAGGAACAAAAGCGGGTCCCGCGGGGCGTCTCTCACGCTGCTGAGTGAGCAAAAACAATGCTTCAGTCTGCGCTGGTTTGTTTAAAGCCCTGCTGTTGGGTGAAAAACCACGTTCAACTTCTGTTTTTGGGGTCAAATTCACCTCATGCAGTCTGCCCAAAATTAAGATTCATGTAAAAACAGCAAAGCTCTATTGTATCTGGTCAGAGACTGAGAAATATAAAATGTGTGAGAAATGTAATAATTTTCTTCTATTGTATTAAGGTTCAATTTGACACAAAATTACTTGTTCAGACACAATACAAAATATCTTTTTGTCATGACACGCAGGTGTAATAACAAGCAACTAATAAAAATGATATTATTTGTGCTTAGTAGTGTTTATTGCTGTTTGTACTTCTGTTATCTTTTTATCTAACCCTAATGAGGGTTAAATGTGTTTCTCACACTAATTTCCAGTGCTGTAATAGTCTAGTATTTGAGATCCAAAAACAACCTTTGTGGTCTCACAAAGTTTTCTTAAGATTTTTTTTACCTGATTCTTTAGTGTTTTTCAAAGTGATTTTTGATAAATTGCATGGAAACCAATGGGGGTTAATTTGACGCGCAACACAAAAGTTGCAACTAAATTTGTACAGCCGTTCCAAATAAGTTAACCAGTACATCAAGCATTTTCAACTTCTAGTTAAATTGTCCTCAAAATAACAGGAGCTGAACTGTTGCTGGTTTGTGTCTGATATGAAGGGTTACGGAGGATCTGACGCGTCCTCACGTCTCTGTCAGTGTGTTTGATGAAGATGTTTCTTTTTGTAATATTATTTTTATTACATTTTCTTGAAACACTTACAAGACTGACACATGTACATACCGTGTCAGTAACAACACTTACAATGTACAAAAAAGAAAAGAAAACAAACAAACACTAGGGGCTCATATTACATGAAAAGTGTGATCGCACAAACCAACATTAGGTTAATACAGTTTGTACTTTGGAAGTTAGATTTAATAATCCATTGCAAACAATAACAACCACAGCTATAAGGGGTTAATATAATGCACATTAAAATATATTTTAATACCCAATCAAGAATTTTGATCCTCCTCTCTTATATTGTTAATATAACTACATTCAATAAATAATAAAAAATGACTCCAGATTTTCTTAAATTTAGCTTCTTTACCCTTAAGCATATAGGTTATATTTTCCATTGCAATGCATGAAGATATATCTCTTAACCAACGAGTTATGGTAAGCCTTTTTCCAATAAATGGCAGTGAGCCTTTTGGCATGTAAAATGCACGTCTATCAATACTTGATTATCCTTTTTAATATTCCAGTTATCTGGATGAATGCCAAGAATTAAAAACCCCGGATCTAATGGTAACCTCATCGAAACCATAAGTGACCATGCAGCACAAAAGCAGTGTTAAGTCGCTGGGGTATATTTGTAGCAATAGCCAACAATACATTGTATGGGTCAAAATTATAGATTTTTCTTTTATGCCAAAAATCATTAGGATATTAAGTAAAGATCATGTTCCATGAAGATATTTTGTAAATGTTCTACCGTAAATATATAAAAACTTAATTTTTGATTAGTAATATGCATTGCTAAGAACTTCATTTGAACAACTTTAAAGATGATTTTCTCAATATTTAGATTTTTTTGCACCCTCAGATTCCAGATTTTCAAATATTGTCCTATCCTAACAAACCATACACCAATGGAAAGCTGATTTATTCAATATTTTCAAAAAACTGACCCTTATGACTGGTTTTGTGGTCCAGGGTCACATATGCATCATTTTACGATGAAGATGTTTCTTGAGAGGAAGTTGAGGACAGGAAGTGCGTGTATCTGTGACAGCTTGTGTTTTTAGTCTCAGTGCTGACGTCAGTGATTCGCACATGCTCTCTTGACATGTTCACACACAACTGATTCTCAGCGACGCCATGCTCGGCGGCCTTGTGGTGTAAAACAACAGAAGAAAATAACTGTGCAAATGTAGTTTTAGTCTGCAGGGCGGCTGTTGGTTTGGATTGTGTGAATGACAAGCGCTTCTCTTCTCCTGCAGCGTATAAATGCATCACGGACCAGCGGGAGCAGCTGGAGCAGATGCTGCCGCTGGTGTTGGGTCTCATCCTGGGTCTCATCATCGTCATCACCGTCTCCGTTTATCACTTCCACCTCAAACTGAGCGCCCCGCAGCTTCCTCGCGACTGCTCGCTCTACAAGAACATGTGAAGACTCTCTATACACACGCCATGTGTCCCGTCTGTAAAGGTCCAGTCCAGACGTCTCAATGCACCTCACTAGAACTCCTCTTTTCTTTCTGGGTTCTGTGTCGAATGTATGGAAGCCCGTTTCCACCATAGAATGAAAAAATTATTTAAAAAGGTAATTGCGACTTTTTTCAGAATTGCAAGGTAAAGACTCATAATTGTGAGAAACTCGGAAAAAAGGAAAAAAGCCAGAATTGTGAGATAAACAGTCGTAATGACCTTTTATTTCATAGCTGGAAAACAGAATTGTTAGACGTAAACTTAGAATTCAGAAAAAAAATCTGAATTGCAACATGTAAACTTAGATTTCAAAGGGAAAAAGTCAATTGCGTGATGTAATCTTAGAATTCAGAGAAAAAGTTAGAATTGCAAAATGTAAGTTTAGAAATCGTAAAAAAGTCAATTGCGTGATGTAAACAGAATTCAGAGGAAAAAAATCTGAATTGCAAAATGTAAACTTAGATTTCTAAGGAAAAAATCAGAATTGCGAGCTGCGAACTTAGTGTCAAAATTTTGAGATGTAAACTTAGCGTTCAGAGAAAAAAAATCTGAATTGCAAAATGTAAACTTTAGAAATATGGAAAAAAAAAGTCAATTGCGAGATGTAAACTTAGAATTCAAAAAGAAAAAAATTCTGAATTGTGAGATGTAACTAAAATTCTGAGGACAAAAAGTCAGAATTATGTTAATATCTTGCAATTCTGACTTTTTTTCCTCAGAATTATGAATTTATATCGCGCAATTCTGTTCATATCTCAGAATTGCAAGAAACAAAATCCGAACTGTGAGTTAAAAAGTTGATATTACCTTTTATTTTTTTATTTTGTTTGTGGTGGAAACAGATGTTTCATACAAATGTCTTGTCTAGATGTTAAATGTTCCTGTAACCGCTGCACTCGTCACGTATGTCGTTTACCACATGATTGTCTATCACTGTAAAAAATAGAGATATTGAAATAGCTTGAAGGCTATAAATAAAGTACAAATATTTATTGATGATTATTTCATGATTATTTTGTGATAATTGAATATTTTATGATTTGCTAAATGAGACCAACTGTACTGTCCATGTACTGAAGTGTGTGAAACAGCACAGAATGACTTGTGTTCTTCTCCATTTACTCTCTCGTGGATGTGAGGAGTTTTAGAAGAGCTTTGTCTTTTCCAGCTGAAAAAGGGAAACTGAAGGTTTAGATCCATCAGAATCAAACGGCACGGAGATGAATGGAAAATCAATGAGAAGCGGTGGGACAGCCGTAACATCACTGGCATTAAAGATTTCCCCGAATGAGCTGCGCTCCTCACAGATCGATGTCTGGAGTCTCAGGCGCTGAGGGGTTTATTGATCCACGTCACCGGCGCTCAATTAAACACTGCTTCTGCTGGCCAGTGATTTATGCTGCGCTCATAAATGCTCGTTCATCAGGATTTCTCTGACCACTCGCTCTTAAAGTGCTGCTCGATCTCATGTTTGGCTGTATGTGTGGTGTATTTATCAGTTCTCACGCTGCAGCTCAAATCTCATTCCAGCATGTTCATCTTCAAATGTGGTGCGTTAATAAACTTTCATTTTTTGTCGAACTGTTTCTTTGGTATTGTCATGCTTTCAAAACTGTACAGAAGCATATTTACTGTAAACGTTGAATTTTATGACAGATTTGATTATTTTCAGATATGCTTTGGTATTTTCTTACAAAGTTAGGAATAATTTTATTAATAGAATACTTGAAAATGTTCTTAATCTTTTATTCTAGAAGAATTCAAAAGAACAAAAAAATCAAAACAAAAGAATAATGACATTAATGGCTCATTCTCCGAGGAGTTCAAGCCTTTTGGGGTCTCAAAAGAAAATTGTAACAGTATCATAGAAATTAGATTGTTACACTTACAATTTATTTTGAATTATATTTTAGTTATTAGTCGTTTTCTGTTTTCATTATAATGTTAAAGTTTTTGTAATTTTGTTGTGTGTTTCCGTATAGTTCCTTAATTTTTCAGTTCCAGAGAAGTTTAAGTAACAGAAATTGTTTTATGGCGTTTTGGTTAACTATAATAACCCTGGCCACACGTAAAAAAACATATTGTTCATGTTTATTATTTTTATGTTTGAATATATACCTCTAAATTAAAAATTGTCCCGAGTCCTGAACCGTAAACACCAAGTTTTGGTTTCTTTTCCTTCATGTCACATTAATCAAATGGTTTCCAGCACGTACATTTGCATATAGCGTTTAATGTCATTAAATGAACATCTCTGTGAACATAAGTACTGAATTATATTCTTTAAAAATTGTTCTTAAAAATACCTGAGAACCAAATGATTTCACAGACAAACAGGTTAATGTAAGAGTCTGAATGAAGCACAGGAGGACACGTGCGTTTGAGGTTTTTTATTGAAAGCAGCTCTTAGTGACACACATGCAGGATCACCGTACAAAAGCCACGCGACAGCGGATCTGAAGTCCTACAGAAACACATTTCCAGATCACAGTGAGCCAGGAGACACGGGTGAGACGCCACGAGAAAACACGCGAGGATTGTGCCGAATATTGCTAGAGAGTGAGCGTGAGAAGGCCACACTACTGAAAACCAGAACGAAACCAGCGTAGAAAACTCTGGCGCGACCTACAAACGTAGAATAAATAAATATATTCGGATTCATCTGTCTGCAACAGCCATCTTCAAAAAAAAAACGAAATATAAACAGTAGGAAAGTTTATTATTATTAGTTATTATTGTTAACTCTCAGTTCTAGGTAATACTGCCCATTTCACCATGGTGACGTCACAACAAAAATACTGCCGTTTATCAAAACTGTACAAGTAAAACTTACAATTGCTCTAAAATACATCTTCGTAGTTAGCGTGAGAAGACGTCAGTCTGGCTGTGGATGAAACGCGCTGACTCTGAGCGCTCAGCGGTGGCGGTAGTGGCGCATCAGAGGAACGATGCAGGCCGGCGGGCCCGACAGCTTCAGGAACGAGTGCTGCAGCAGCTCCAGCGCCGAGGCCCGCTGCGACGGCTCTCGCACCAGCATCAGCTCCAGGAACGCCCGCAGAACCGACGACACCTGCACCCAAACACACCAGACACCGCTTCAGCCGACTCAACACACGTCACTAGAGCTGGGAAAACAAATCCATGCATCGCGAATAGGGGTGTAGCGATACACGTACTCGTATTGAACGGTTCGATTCGTTGGACTAGTCCTATCACGTTTGGAAAATAAAAGAGCTTAAAGTGTGTGAAACATAATGTTCTCATCAAGGCAGCCCAAACGACTTAACAAGCAACGTGCTGTCTGCCCCGCGATCATCTCGAAACACGATGATTTTGTATCGACGATAGCCTGAGATATTGTCAAAAACAACAATTGTTGGCAATATTAAGCTATTTGGCATTTCCAATTAATGTAGGCCTGTTACATTCTTATTTTTATTAGGCCTATTATTATTATGAAGTTACTTTTATTTTTAACTTAAAATTACAATTAATTTGCCCCGCAATAATTACCACTTAACTGACGTGCTGCGAGGATTACAAAAGATTAGGCTATTTACTCTTCAATTAAAATGTTTAAAAAAAGGTATTTTAAAACAGGTCTATTATACAATGAATTATAGGCCTACAAGTAAAATATTAACACTGCAGTCATCAATAAAAATCAATCAAATAAAAAGCTTTTTTTTTCAAGCACCGACTTTCAAAAACAACCTGTTTAACACGGAATATGTTTCTTCTAATTTTTTTTCACTATGTAATATTAGAAATATTAAGGGAATAAATGAAAACAGTTAGCTATATATCGTCATCAGCATATGTTGAAGTAGATTCGTCTCGTCGTCTCTGAGAGAATATGCGGCGTCAGATGCCGAAAGCTCCGTCATTACGTTTTTACTTTCACTTTCTGCATATAGTGAATTGATTGAGATTAAGACGTTCACCGGCATAACTCTTGCGCAAAGTTTGCACGTTGCTTGTGTGATATCCATTGGCTTGCCTTCATGGTTTAAAACAGAAATATTTCCAACATTGCGACGTAACCAATTAGCCCCGTACCGAACCGAACCGTGACACCACTCTGTCGTATCGAATCGAACAGTGAATTTTGTGAATCGTTACACCCCTAATCGCGAATTGAGAAATGATTCCGCATCGATTCTGAGATTTTCCGAATGCATGGTGATTCTTTCTCCAATCGATTCTGAGCTTAGTTTTGAACAGCAGATGGCGCTGCATGCTTCAGCAATGCATGGCGATTCTTTCTCGAGTCGATTCTGAGCTTAGTTGTGAACAGCAGATGGCGCTGCATGCTTCAGAAACAGACAAATTCTTACACACACTTGAACCTAAAATAATCATTCATAAAATTCAAAAAGGTTGAAACAAATCACAAGGGTGTTCACAGTGGTCTGTGTTTACATTAATCTGGCGTCATAAAAGCATTCTGAGCCGAGGTGAAATTACAGACTCAGCCGAACACACAAGCGCTCTTCAGCTATTCTTCATGAGCCTTTGAGTGTGCGGATAAAAACTAGAGTAGAGCGCCATCTGCTGTTAAAATATAAGCTCAGAACCGATTCCAGAGAGAGTCGCGATGCATTCGGAAGATCTCAGAATCAGTCCACGAATCGATTCTGCATCGATTTATCGTCGCAGCTCTAGTCACATGACACAGTGTTCAATATATAGCACCTCATTTATAAAATGTTGCATAGAAACCATCCTAAATTTGATCATCTCTCAAATATGCATACATGTGATTCATAGAATGAACGTATGCACAGAAAACGCACATACGCCTCTCTTTCAGATGTGAAATCTATGAATCGCAAATGACCGTGAACTTGCACGCAACTGAATGGTTTCAGCTCTCTGCCTCGTAAACGACTCCTAATTAATGTCATTAACATATAAAAGATCATCAGCCATCATCCAAATCCTTTAAAAACCCTGCGGTACTCCAACAATAAAAAGTGCGTACGTCTACGCTAAGCACTTTTCCACGTCAAAGACAGTTTTTACAAATATGAGCGCACACACACTGTAAGATCAAATCTGAGCGTACGCACGCTTTATAAATGAGGCCCACAAATCGTACATGAGCCAGACGATTGTTCAGATGTTCAGAGTGCTGTATTATTAATTTGTCATTTGAAATTTTGCCAACCAGTGTTTCATTACAGAATAAATCCACCATTTTAAACGAATCGAGTGAGTCAATGATTCAGTCACTCATTCATAAAGACTGTCACTTGCTGCGTTTCTGAATGCATCAGCCGTTTGAACGAATCGGCTGAATGAATAATTCAATGACTCGTTCATAAAGACAGTAACTTGCTTCGTTACTGAATGAATTAGAAGTTTCAAACGAATCGAGTGAGTCAATGATTCAGTGACTCATTCAGAAAGACTGTCACTTGCTGCGTTTCTGAATGCATCAGCTGTTTGAACGAATCGGCTGAATTAATGATTCAATGACTCGTTCATAAAGACAGTCACTTGCTTCGTTACTGAATGCATCAGCTGTTTGAACGAATCGGCTGAATGAATGATTCAATGACTCGTTCATAAAGACAGTCACTTGCTTTGTTACTGAATGAATTAGAAGTTTCGAACAAATCGAGTGAGTCAGTGATTCAGTCACTCATTCAGAAAGACTGTCACTTGCTGCGTTTCTGAATACATCAGCTGTTTGAACGAATCGGCTGAATGAATGATTTAATGACTCTTTCATAAAGACAGTCACTTGCTTCGTTACTGAATGAATTAGAAGTTTCGAACGAATCGAGTGAGTCAATGATTCAGTGACTCATTCAGAAAGACTGTCACTTGCTGCGTTTCTGAATGCATCAGCTGTTTGAACGAATCAAAATGTATTATAAAGACATTAGCTGTGTCCCAATTCACTTACTTATACTACGCCTTAAAAGTATGTAGCCTACTCTTTTTGAGCTTTGAGCAAGCTTTGGGACAGACTACTTCGTCATAGCTGCGTCTTTAACAGACGCTCTGTTGCTTAGTTACATGCAACCTGTCACTGTTTAAACTGTCCTGTAAATCATCTTGTCACAGTTAATCCACATTTCGTTTAATTTGATTTCCTACCGTATTGGAGAGAAATAAAGAGAGGCACGTTGATCTGCCAGTCGCGGGTTTTTATGCTGAGAACGGCTCATGTGTTTGCATAATGCATTTAAAAGTTAATGACCTAACGTATCATTATAAAACTTCACAATGTTGCTGCAGATGAAATATAACGTGGATAACATTAAATACATATTTTTCATCAGGTTAGACATTGATTATTTATCACTCAAACCCCTTTCTCTACTTGTCCGTTGGTCTCACATATCTGCCATGTTTGTAGTTTTTTAACACTTTCTATGTGTTTGTAGTTCTAATCGAATCCTCGTCCACTGTGCACTGTGTTGTGGGCAATATTAGCCGTTAGAATGTGCATCGATCTACACTTCGAATTCTAACCGGAAGTAGTAGACCATTGGTCTCAATCTCGATTCCTGGAGGGCCAGAGCTCTGCACAGTTTAGCTCCAGCCCTAATCAAACACACCTGATCCAGCTAACCAAGGTCTTCAGGATTACTAGAAACTTCCAAGCAGGTGTGAGTTGGAGCTGGTTGGAGCTAAACTCTGCAGAGCTGTGGCCCTCCAGGAACTGAGTTTGAGACCACTGTAGTAGACTATCCAGGAATCTTTGTCATACTTTCTTAAACATACTACGATTTGGGACACACTAATTCTATTTTCGAATACTATTTAGGACAGATAGTATGCGAATTGGGACGCAGCAAGTGACTTGCTTCGTTGTTAAATGAATTAGCAGTTTTGAACGAATCGAGTGAGTCGATGATTCAGTGACTCATTCGTAAAGATAGCCACTAGCTTAGTGTCTGATTGAATCAGCTGTTTGAACAAATCAGTTGAATGAATGATTCAATGACTCACTCATTAGAAAGTGACTCGCTACCACCTACTGGTGTTTTTAGTCTCATTTCATTTTTGTTTAACCATTTCATATTTCAATATCCATTCAAACATTAATATGCATTTATTATCAATATTTTTCTGTAATGTGTAGTCAATGCTTTTCTCATGTAACACAATAATGACTTTAAATGATCTTTCGGGGAGTGATTTCTCAGCCCAAATTGATGTGCAATTAATTAATTGGCATATAATGTAATTAATTAGATACAATTTTTAAATTGTTTTACAGCCCTAGTAAAAACTAGTGCTGTCAAATGATTAATCGCGATTAATCGCATCCAAAATAAAAGTTTTTGTTTGCACAATATATGTGTGTGTACTGTGTATATTTATTATGTATATATAAAGACACACACAAACAGCATATATTTTGAAAATATATTTACATGTATATATTTATATTCATATAAATTATATCATATATAAATTATTTAATATATAAACGTAACATATTTTTCTTAAATATATACATGCATGTGTGTGTATTTATATATACATAATAAATATACACAGTACACACACATATATTATGTTAACAAAAACTTTTATTTTGGATGCGATTAAGCACGATTAATAGTTTGACAGCACTAGTAAAAACATAATTATATAATTACAAAAACTGCTGACATAAAAATGTTGATATAAACATTGCATTATGTGCAATTCAAATGTTTATGTTATATGTTATGTTTATGTTATATTATATCTGAATGTTGATTATCAAATTAATTTGAATAATTCCTTATCAAATAAAGTTTCCGTTTAATGAGAACGTTGGGTTTTGGTGTTTGAGTAATAAATGAGTTTCAGAGCATCGCTGTAAATCAGAGCTGCACGTAAACACGCGTGCCAGCGATCATGTGACTGCGGCTCCGGCCAATAGAATCACAGCTGCTCACCTTGTGAGACTCCTTGAGTCGCGGCGGCAGGTTGTCTCGTATCCGTCTCATGGCCTGCAGCGGCGGCTCGTTGAAGTATGGCGGCTCTCCGTCCACCATCTCGATCACCATGATGCCCAGAGACCAGATGTCCACCTGCAGACACACCACGGCAGATCAGCGCTGACTAGCTACCCATCATGCAGCACACGGGTCACCGTCGCTAACCGTACCTCAGTGCCATAGGGCAGCCTGGAGATGACCTCCGGCGCCATCCAGTACGGCGTTCCCACCAGAGACTTCCTCTTGGGAACCTCTTTAGACACTTGAGCACAGAAGCCGAAATCCGAGAGCTTGATCTGAGCACAGAGACACCAGAGCGTCACGTACAGCACAACGCAAAGCTGATTAGCCGCTAATCACCCCTTCATTTGTCATGTTCTCCCAGCTAATTACAAGGTGGGAGACACGATTTAATTACTTGGAACTAGTGAAGTTGCTAATTACCCCGATCACTTTTCTGCCCTCACAATAAACACACTTATGTGTGTAACTACACAGTTACATGTGAAAGATGATGATACCGTAAACCACACAACACTGTCGTGTGCTGAATATTCAATTATAACGATTAAACACAACAGAATTATATCTTATAAAATATTTATATTTTTATTTAATTATAAAAAATCCTGTTTTTCATAGTGCTGGTTGTAGTTATCAAACACATCACTGCACTTCACATGAGAAGGCCGAGTTACCTTCGCTGTATACCCGAAGAAGTTTTAATTGGCATCGCTTCATTTATAAGTCTATTTGTGGTCTAACTCCATCTTATTTGTCTCTCAGCTTTTCTAATTCAAAAGTATGCTATAAACTACATTCAAATAATGTTATGTTTTAAAGTTCCTCGGGTTCGAACTGAACTAGGAAAAAGGGTTTTGTATATAATTGGCTTGGAATAATTTACAAAGCATTTTAAAGTTGACCGTGCTTCCGACATTAAATGAGTTTAAACTACTTTTAACAAATTGTGTGTTTTATCCCCTGGTAAATTGTTGCTGTGATCGTTGATTTGTGTTTTGTGGAATTAGTGTAGACTTGTGTATTTTATGTTATTTGTTGCTGCTTTCTTGGTCAGGTCTCTCTTGTAAAAGAGATTTTAATCTCAATGAGTTTTTTAACCTGGTTAAATAAAGAAATGAAATGAAATATGATAACATTTAAAGTAAATGTAATTATTTTATATAAATCATAATATTAATGTACAATTTTTTAAAATATAATTTAACTTGATAAATAAATTAAATTCAATAATTACATTTGATACATACAATATAAATATCTTACTTTTTTATTACATGAAATTGTATATATATATATATATATACCCTTCCGTCGCTGGTGAGCAGGATGGAGTCGCTCTTGATGTCTCGGTGTATGACGCCCTGCGTGTGCAGGTAAGACAGCGCCTTCAGCACCGACAGACAGACGGTGGCGATCTGCTCCTCATTCATCCTGTCAACAAAACACACAATCATCAGATCTCCTCAACAACGTGAGCAAATCAGAGCAGACCTGCTTCTCACAAGCTCCTGAGACGAACAGTTGCTAGGGTATTTTAGGTGGTCTCATGTAGCAGCACTAATGATTGAGTTCTGTGTGAAACTCTCACTGTGTGAATATAAATCAGTGTCAAGTCAAGTCACCTTTATTTATCTAGCGCTTTTAATACAGATTGTGTCAAAGCAGCTTTACAGTATTAAATAAGAAAATAGTGTGTCAATAATGCAAAAAAAAATGTAATTTCAGCTGCTCTAAACCAGAAGCATCTATTATCACAGATCCAACTTCAGCAACAGCACTAACACACACACACACACTCTCTCACACACACACACACACACACACTCACTATAACACTCACACACACACACACACTCTCTCACACACACCCAGCTGTCCGCCGCGCTCTCATCTGTCTCGCCTGCGGCTGCGGCTTCACTGGAGGCGAACACGCTGCCATGTGTTTGTGCGTCCCGCTCCTCCTCAACACTAATGTGCCGTAATGCGCAAACGGGACGTGTTTGCAATTACTCTGACGAACGACGCCTCACAAGGAGATCCATGAAGGACACTTCTGTCTCCAAACCCTCATTCACCACTTCATTCTTCACATACAGTGACGTACAGAATACTGGTCACATGCAAACCTGCTCAGACAGACTTACATCAAACAAATAAATAATAGGTAAAAAAACAGATAAAAATAAGAAATAGCAACACTTTACAATAAAGTTTACATTAACATGAACTAACAATGAAAAATACTTCTAAAGCATTTTTAATATGAGGTAATTTCAACATTTACTAACACATGATTAAAATAAAAAGTTATCTGTTAACATTATTTAATGGACCTGAGCTGACTTGAACTAACAATTAACAGTTGTATTTTTATTAAATAATTTAAAGAAAGAAAACAAATGCATTGCTCGTTGTTAATGTTAGTTAATGCATTACTAATGGGACCTTATTGTAAAGTCTTACCAAAATAAAAATGAAAAATAAGTAATGATAATAATAAACAAAATAACAATGGATAGGATTATTTAAAAAAAAAAACAGCTAATAAGATGCAGTAAAAGCCCCTTTTCCATGGTTAAATCACTGTAACATCCTGGACAGTAATATAAAAGACATTAACATTCAATAAATGGTTTAATCTGATAAATAAACAGCATACACACAAGTAGTTCTTCCATCATGTGTTGTAGTTCATCAGTGTGGCTGTATCTGAATATAAACCTGTGTTTAAACACTCATCCAATCACAGCTCTCACTCTCAGCTATCAGTTTATATTCACAAGTCGTGTCAGACTCACAAGCACACACTGATCAGCCTCAAACACCTCCAGATTCTGCATTAATACAAACAGCTCTGTGTGCCGCTAATTTATCAGGAGCCTCATTACAATCTGCTGTTAATTGAAAACACGGCGCTCTTTGAACAGCCCACACGCAGGAACACGCTCTGGCACGGATCAGCGTTTGCTCTGGCAGGGACCCAGCAACACCAACATCAGACCACAGCACACGAGAAACAGCACTGAAGAACACTGATCCTGTGCACTCAGACCATCTCCACCTGACTCCTTCCGACTCCACCTGACTCCATCTGACTCTACATGACTCCAACTGACCCCAACCAACTCCATCTGACTCCAACCAATGCCGCCTGACTCCAACAACTCCATCTGGCTTCATCCGACTCCATCTGACTCTACCTGACTCCAACTGACCCCAACCAACTCCATCTGACTTATCTGGCTCCTACCGACTCCATCTGACTCCAACCGACTCCATCTGACTTCATCCGACTTCATCCGACTCCATCTGACTCCAACTGATGGAGTCAGATGGCGGCGCACGCTGACGGCAGGGCAGGAGCTGCAGGTGTAAACGCTGCCAATTTTAAACTAAAAACTGATCACTCTGATTTCAAAACTAGAGTCAATCAAAGCCAAAATACTGCCGATAGGACACAGAAAATTATTGTTATTGGCTATACTGCTATCCTTTTGTTTCTATCAATACGTTGCTGTTGGGAAACAAACATACATCAACGGTGGACAGACACGCAAGTTGTTGTTACTACCTCTGATTTATGCAGCCAATTCACTTCTTTCTCCGTGATATTAAACGACGGAAAAGTGACTTTTCCAACAAAGCACTTGCGATCTATCGAGAGAAGAAAACCATCTCAATTGTTCCGGAGAACGATCAGTTATTTAGCCATTACTCTTCTTCTGGCGAGCGACGTTCATCAAAATCCAGGACCTGGACCTAAAGACGATGCACGGCCTTTTACATCTGACTCCACCTGACTCCACCTGACTACATCTGACTCCAACCAACTCCATCTGACTCTACCTGACTCAAACTGACTCCACCTGACTACATCTGACTCCACCCGACTCCAACTGACCCCAACCAACTCCATCTGACTCATCTGGCTCCTACTGACTCCATCTGACTCCAACCAATTCCATCTGACTTCATCCAACTCCATATGACTCCAACCGACTCCATCTGACTCTACCCGACTCCAACTGACTCCAACCAACTCCATCTGACTCTAACCGACTCCATCTGACTCCACCCGACTCCAACTGACCCCAACCAACTCCATCTGACTCATCTGGCTCCTACCGACTCCATCTGACTCCAACCAATTCCATCTGACTTCATCCAACTCCATATGACTCCAACCGACTCCATCTGACTCTACCCGACTCCAACTGACTCCATCTGACTCATCTGGCTCCAACCGACTCCATCTGACTCTACCCAACTCCATCTGACTCCAACCAATTCCATCTGACTCCAACGACTCCATCTGGCTCCAACCGACTCCAACTGACCCCAGCCGACTCCATCTGACTCATCTGGCTCCTACCGACTCCATCTGACTCCATCTAACTCATCTGGCTCCAACCGACTCCATCTGACTCCAACGACTCCATCCGGCTCAAACCAACTCCATCTGACTCTAACCGACTCCATCTGACTCCATCCGGCTCCAACCAACTCCATCTGACTCTAACCGACTCCATCTGACTCCATCTGGCTCCAACCGACTCCATCTGACTCCAACTGGCTCCAACCAACTCCATCTGACTCTACACGACTCCAACTGACTCAAACTAAAATTGAAAGTATAAAGACTGAAAATATAAAAATAAAAGATACTTCAAAGTATGAATAAAAACCACAGCAGTATATTAACAATAGTAAAATAACACTGGTTCAGATGTTAACACAAACTGTAAATCTCATTTTAATGACTGAGTTTGTGTTTAGTAGGTACAATCTCAACACAAACTAAAATTGAAAGTATAACGACTGAAAATATAAAAATAAAAGATACTTCAAAGTATGAATAAAAACCATAGCAGTATATTAACAATAGTAAAATAACACTGGTTCAGATGTTAACACAAACTGTAAATCTCATTTTAATGACTGAGTTTGTGTTTAGTAGGTACAATCTCAACATTTATTAATAGAAATGTGGTCAAAACATCTAGAATGTAAACCCTGTTTGACCTCACCTCCTTTTGTCTTTCCCTTGTTTTCTTCTATTAATGTCTGCATTATTGTTACTCTTACATCTTGTATCTCTTATTAATTTGGAAATGTAATTGCTTCTGACTGTACTCTGGATAAGCATTTGAATGTAAGTATGTGTCAAACATGACACAATGTGATGAGGAGGATTTAAACATTAAATATTTTATGAATACATTCGACACTAAAATGATGAAATTAAACAAAAAACATAATGAAATTAGTCAAACTAATTCTATTTAAACCTTAGATGGAATTGGCTGTGAGAATCACATGATCCATCTGCTGATTCAGACCCGTGTGTCACTCAGGATGCTGCCTAAGAAGGGATCTGTCTATGTAGACATGAGCGTCTCTATTAGCGTCTCAAACAGGACAGAAATAAAGCGCATCAGAAACAGAAGCTGCTCTTCCTCTCTGTGGTGGGATGGAAGTGTGTCGTGCCGACGGGTCATGCGTGTCTCTGAAAGCATGCAATTACAGTCCAACACCGTGCAACACCGAACTGACGAACAACGCCAATTACTGTAATTATGCAGACGCTTCGAGAGCAGAGGCGCGTGTCTCTGAAAGCATGCAATTACAGTCCAACACCGTGCAACACCGAACTGACGAACTACGCCAATTACTGTAATTATGCAGACGCTTCGAGAGCAGAGGCAGCGTTTAAAACAAACTCCACCACAAACTTTCACAATAATAATTCAGCACTGGACTATTGTCTCCAGCAGATAACGCTGCACTCAAACCGCTGCATAAATCAGCTGCAGAAGTGTAATATTACTCTCAGTTTCATATTAGATCAAAGCTGATTGTGGAACGTGTTAAACATGTTCACTATTAATGAGACCAAAACATCTCGTCAAGTCAAGTCACCTTTATTTATCTAGCGCTTGTAACAATACAGATTGTGTCAAAGCAGCTTTACAGTATTAATTAGGAAAATAGTGTGTCAATAATGCAAAATGACAATAGTAAACACTCAATGTTCAGTTAAAGGCAGTTCATCATTGAATTCAGTGATGTTCTCATCCAGCTCAGTTCAGTTAAAATAGTATCTGTGCAATCAAGTCGACGATCTAGGTGATCTAGGTATTTCTGACACAAACTCAATAATGAGGCCTAGTGTATAATCTCACTTAATCATTTTCTCTTTCACTTGGATCTTGGTGTACTTTGAATCAAAAGATCAGATGAATGCATCAGTGTGAAATCAGCTAGTTCAGACTCTGATTCTGATTGGACGATCGGCTCTTACCTGGTGTGAGTGACGATGTCAGTCAAGGCTCCGCCCTCCAGGAACTCCATCACTACCCAGAGTTCATCACTGACCAGATAACTGTTGTACATGTCGACCACGTTCTCGTGATGGTAGTCTCTCATGATGACCACCTGCAAGCAGATGAACAGGAAAACATCTAGACGCTCTCAAAGACCTGTGTCTGATCATCTCTGTTTCATCATGAATGAGGGCTGAAAATCATTTGAAATAAAACAGCAGTTATTAACATGCAAAGTCTGCGAATTGAGTATATATATACCGTGTGTTTCAGAGTAAAGCGGCTGGAATACTTACAAATTGTAGTTCATTACTGATTACAGATTCGTACAGATTACGAAATCCAGATGACATGTAATCAGTTACTACCCAGCTCTGATAACGAATATTGCAGTTAATAAAATAATCTGGATTACACATATTACGTAATGTAGTCTGACTAATTTTTGATTACTTTTGACCTAACTCGTTTATCACATAGACTTGAATTGGATTATTTTGTACCATAAAAAAACAACAACAACAAAAAAAAGGAAAATATATTCCATTTTTTGTTGTCAACATCATGAAATGCATTAAACATTACATTACATCAGGGTTTCCCAAACTGTATATAAGTGGTATGTTCATTTAGAAAGAAAAATTTTAAAGCAAAAAGAATTGGGCTGAATTAATTCATTTTGAATAATTTACTGCCATTGTGTGAATAATATGTAATCATGCAATCCATAAAAGTAACTGTAATCTAATTATGATTTTAAAATGTAATATTTCTGGACTCTGATTATGTAATCCAGATACCATGTAATTAGTTACAGCACTGTGTCCATTTACACACGAGCAGCTCGTGATGCAGTGTTTTCAGTGTCTCGGAGCGACGCGACTCGGTCTCTGCATCTGCTGTGAGTCTGTGTCCAATATAATGAGCATTATACATTATACAACACACACCAAACCATCTTCCCAAACCTGTAATGAGATGCGCATATTAACAAAAGGGAAACTTCCCGTGGTTTTCTGCCAAAATAAAAGCTTAATAAAAACAAAGAAATTTAGACAACTATAAATATGGGACTGTAAAAATAAAATAATCATGATATTATTTCTCTTAAAATCTTTATTTATTTTTTTTTACAGAAAATATGAAGTATTACTAGTGTAATATTTCTGTTTCATATTTTCATAATAAGAAGAATCATGATAGAATTACTTTAAAAAATGATTATTTTATAGACATGTTGATATATAGTCAAACCAAAATGTATTCAGACACCTTCAACATTTCTCACATTATATCACAGTTTATTCTCTATAGTTTAGAAGATGGTACTAAAATATGAGAAGAGCTCAGAGTTAAACTGAGTCAGAACAAACTCATCTTGATAATCTCAGATAACTTTGATAGAAAGGTATGTAATGAATTCGGTTGAATAGCTGTCAGCTGTTACATTTAAGAACACAATTAGATAAAACCAATTTAGCTTCATTTAGTTCAGTCTGTGGTGTAAAAAGATCACATTAGCAATTAAAGAAAAACACTGAAGAAACACATGCTCAGCTCAAAGTGTCTGAATAATTATTGCTCCTAAATTTTACTGTTAGTCCACTGTATGAAGAGTGGGTGTAATTTTTGGGTGTAATATGTCAGTTTACTTTATTTTGCTCTCATCACTTACATAAATGAACTGTAGTGTCCTGCACCCACTAGTAAATAAATATCAACAATTATATCTGCTGTCTTATATATTTTTGGTTTGACTGTATAATCACAAAGGTTTTAGCCTATACCGCACAGCTCTACAAACCTGGAGCTTTTTTCACCATTTTGCTCACCAGGATATTGGCGCGCTCACCTCGTTGAACAGAAGTTCCCGCCGCTGCTGTTTTCTCAGGTCCATCTTCTTCACAGCCACCTGTTTGCCGCTGTGCTTCTCGGTGGCGATGCACACGATGCCCGTGGATCCCTCCCCGATCTTCAGGAAGTTGTCCAGATACTCGCGCGGGTCGCCGGGGTTCACCACCAGCTGCAGCGCCGCGCGGAACTGCTCGTGCGAAACCCTGCAGGGCGTCTGCTCGGAGGACGAGCCCCAGCTGGGCGGCGGATAGGCCCCGGGGCCCGGGATGAAGGGCGAGGAGGGCTGCGAGTGCGCTCCCTGCGGGGTGTAGGGAGGGCTGGGCTGCGGCGGCCGGTAGTGGTACTGGAGTCCGGCTGGGTAACCGGGTTTGCCGTGGCTCTGAGGTAGTTTGAAGGGAACGCGCTGATACGTCTCGGGCCCTGGCCCCGGCCCCTGCGGACTCCCGTCACGGGCCCCGCGCTCGTACTCGCCCTGTTCCGTCCAAACACAAAACATCATGGGCCTCATTAGGGTTGTGTATCGTTTGAATTTGATCAATTCCGATTCTGCTTATCGATTCCCAGTTTCGATTCTAATGTGGTTAAAGTCAAACATTTAGATATTAAACATATTTATTCTGTGTCTCTTTTTGCAAAACATTTAGTTGAAGCTGAATACCATGAACAAAAATCAGCCGGCTGCATAAAAACGATTAAGAGCTGTTTGTGTGCAAAATAGAGCCGCATGATTCTGGATAAATTGAGACTTTTTTTTTTTAATGGAGGTTGTAGTTCTCTCACAATTATAAAGAAGAAATATTAGACAACTAAACAAAATCTCATGGAATTTATGAATGGAATGATTCAATGACTCACTCAAGATTTACTTGTTTCATTACTGGATGAATCAGTGTTTTTGAATGAATCTCCTGAATGAATGATTCAAAGACAAATGCATTTTTAACAGCCCCCTTTTGCCAAAAAAAAAAAAAAAGATGTGCACACAGGAATTGATAGATGGAATTTTAATTTTAATTTTACAACAAGTATCCGATTCCTGAACTTAAGTATCCGATTCTGGAATTGGAATTGATTTTCGATTCCCAACCCTAGGGCTCATTTATAAAATGTTGCTCAAAAACCATCCTAAATTTGATCTTACGATCATCTCTGAAATATGCGTACGTGTGATTCATAGAATGAACGCACGTATGCCTCTCTTTCAGATGTGAAATCTATGAATCACAAATAATCGTGAACTTGCGCGCAAATGAATGGTTTCAGCTCTCTGCCTTGCAAACGACTCTTAATTAATGTCATTAACATGTAAAAGATCACCAGTCATCATCCAAATTCTTTAATTTAGAACAGTGAGCTGCAAGAACAGCTTACATTTCCAAAAACCTGCAGTACACCCCCATGAGTGAATAATGCAGACACGAGCAGCAGCAGAAGACGCTCATGATTCCTCATTACAGGCCTGCGATGATCCTCAAACGCTCGTTTATCACAGAGCTGCTGTCTGCTGAGGGAACGGCGCTCAAACTGAGGCTCAATGTCACACATTACAGCAGGACAACAAACCAAATCACTCTGACACTGGAATCATGTGATCATTCTGTCTTCATGTGCAAAACAAGAGGGTGAACATTCAGATAAAGATCTGCGGTGTTTTTTACCAAACAGAAAATATCACACAATATTTATGATCAATAACACAGCTTTAAAACAGCTGTTTTCTATGTGAATATCTGTTAAACTGTAATTTATTTCTGTGATGCGCAGCTGTATTTTCAGCATCATTCCTCCAGTCTTCAGTGTCACATGATCTTCAGAAAGATCGTTTTAAATCGTAATAATACAATTAAATAGTAATATTTCAAGAGTTCTTTTAAAAACATTGAAAAATGTAATTATTACTTTTTATTGTAATAATTACTACTTAATTATTCAAACTTTTGACTGGTAGCGTATGTGATACACACATACAGCTGAGATGTTTCCAGCATACATACAGTGAGAAGCAAGCATATGATAGTGGGATAAAGCATTAGAAAGACCGCAGTCACGACGGATCTGATTCTCACGCCGTTAGTCTGCAGGGTCACAGTGGGCGGTAGATTGAATTATTCCCACCACGCCCCGAACACAAAAAGATGACACGACACGGATCGTCATCTAAGCGCCTGATGATGAGAGCGCCGGCTGTAATTACGCCGGTGGACTCGTTTAATCAATCATCCCGGCGAGGCTGTTTATGGGCCGGAGAAAGTCCCGAGACCCCCTTTCCCAACCGGCACCACTGGCTGATCCATGTTCGTTAAATGCACATTAATCTGAATTTGGCAGCGTAATCAACAACCCAACTGGAGTGTGAAATTGAATTCTGTGGTGGAACACGCCGCCGCGGCTTTTATGCAAGGGCTGCAGAAAAGGAAGGTGCCACAACATCAGTTCATCACAATGAGCGCAAGCGTGCCCGAGTTCCCAAGTCCCCGAGCTGTCGGCCTTTAACGGTCTGAGATTCCCAACAGTGCCAACAAAACGCTGGGCTCGCTGAAAGTGACCGAGTCGAGGTGAATGAGAAAGAAAGAGGTTCATTATGACGCCGCTGAGCCGAGACTGATGGGAGTTCGGCCTGAACCACAGCCAAATCTCACACACACACACACACACAACTGTGCTGCTCAATACAGTCGACATACAGTACAACGCCGCTGTGTACATCAACCGAACCCACCAGAAACACGCTCATATTTCACCCCAAACATCAGCAGAAAGAAACATGAAAGAACATGTAGTGGAATGCAAATAATGAGTTTGTGCATCGTGGCATTATTTTCATGACACATTTACACACAAATTTCTCATTAAAGGTGCAATAGGTGATTGTCTTCAGAAACATTTTTTGTTATGCTGGTTGAAAGTCTCTTCACATCCCGATAGCAAGCATTAAGTTAAGTGGTCTAAATGTATTTATCTGTATTTATATATTCTGTGGAAGGCGTAGGACCAAGAAATGTTCGTCCAATCAAAATGCTCGGAACGAGTTGACTTTCCTACCTGTCTGTC